CAAGGACTCATCAAGTATCTCCATTCGGGGCTCGTCTTCCTCCTCGATCACATTGACCTTTTCCTTCTTATTCTCGACTTCATCGTCCTCGGCTATCTTGGCCACGTCCAAAACCTCCTCGAGCCTTGGAGCTTTGACCATCTCGACTTCGTTCGTGTCTTGTTCCACCGCAATTTTTGTCTCGCACTTATCGAGCCCGACCAATTTGACCTTCGTCTCCTTCTTGGACTCGCCTTGGGCCTTGCCACTTGCTCGCATATCCTTCTTGACTTGGGTGTGGCCCATGAATTCCTGCTGGTAATTACGCAAGCTTCCTCTCCTCCATTCGTGCGAGGGAGCCTCGTCGTAATGGCAATAGATCGGGGTCCCGAATCGTACGACGAGCTCCTTTTTAAAATCCTCCCATTGAGTTGGTTCGCGGCAGTTGTGGTAGAGCCATCGCCACCAAACATCGGCCCCTCCGTCAAAATAATTTGAAGCGTACTTTACCCAGTCCTTCCTTGGTATATCTTTGAGGATGAAATATGCAAGGGCTTGCTTGAGCCAAGCGTCTGGATCAACTCCCTTGAATGTTGGCAGCTCCAGTCTCGACCTTTCGCACCACGGCCTTTTCCAGTTGTTCGGGTTTTGACGACGATACCAATCCTTCAAGAACATTAGTTCACAAATTGTCAATCTCCTTCCTTCGGCCACACGCACCACCTCTTCAAACCTCTCTTCCTCCCACCTCAAGTATTCCTCCATGGATTCTCTCCTCAACATTCCTTTTTTTTTTCCATCAGCTAGCCCCTCTCACGAGCACACAACCTCACGATTTTTTTTTATTCGAACTAAAAAGAAAAAGGAGAGAAAGAAAAAGAATGGGGAAGAAAAAGACACACGATCTAGCACCTCTCAATGAAAGCACCAATGATGAAGATCGCGAGTCCGATTGCCGATAAGCCACAAACCAGTGCCTTGAATCGCCGATAGTTGCCTAGAGGTTCACAAACCGTACCCCTCTAAACGAATATAATTGCAATAGAATTTTGGTTAAAAACTAAAGCAAAGAGAATGAACAAAAGTTCTGATTTCTATTGATAAATTTCATGATGAAAAATAACAAGGGGAAAGGGCCTTTATATAGGCACAAAATATATCTAGTCCTAATATACCTAGGGAATTATTAAAGCAATAAAATATTAAGTAACCTAAACAAGCTAGATCTCATAAAGCAATAAGGAAATTAAATAACTAGGGGATCTTGTGTCTTGA